ACTTGATTATCAGTCAAGTCACTGTTGTAAAGAGTGCAACTTTGCGCGGATGTTCAAAAATTCGAAAGCAGTTTGATGTTATAGATATTATTACGTTTTAATAATAAGATTTTTTTAGTTGTTTGCTGTTAAATGTTAGCAAGATTTTTTAACGTAGTTTAAATCGTGTAGACGACTAAAACGAACAATTTCAGTTTTTTTTTTTAGAATGTAAACTAGTTCGATTTTCATTACTGCTATATTTAGAAAGCGATGCTCTTACATATAAATGGCCCATTGTGATATTATATGACATTATACTAGAATTTCTAATCTAACTTATGAGCGTCTGTCAAAACATTTACTTGATATAATGAATTGTGAATTTTTATATTCTATATAATAATAACTTAATATAGTCACTTTACATTACATTATATAACATTACATTACATTACATTATATAACATTACATTATTTTATATTGCATTACATAACATTAAATTTTTTATATTATGCGCTGGGTAGAAACATTTACAGCTTCACAACAGTTGTCCATTCTTGGGGCAAGCGGACCTAAAAAATAGTTATTGGTAATGTAAGGATTAAAAACTTATATTATTGCATAGTTCCATTTTGGCCAGATGTAACATATGTTCGACAAACTATACTTCACACAAAATGGAAAAATAAATAATTTTGTGGATTTTATCAATTATCTGGATTAGAAGGATTTAACATTCAAAGAAATCAAAATCGATAAACTGAATATCATATATTCGTTTGTAATTCTGTGCAATTGGGTCAATGAAATTAAACGTGGTCGTGCACTATACTCTTATTCGAGAAATCCAATATATGCTGCAATATCAAAAATTATCGATAAGGTTGAGGCCGCAAGCAAATCATATCGGCTAGCAGAGTTATAATTCACATCGACGCCTTCCGTTGAAGCAGTAATTACTCAACCAGCTTTAAAATGTTGAATAATGGTTGAATCTAATGGTTGAATATTTCATAGTTGAAAGAAGATTATGTTCGCAAATAAAAATTAATCAATATAAAATGAGATTTTTGTTACATATAAATCTATAAATTTTGACAATATTTTCCATATTAAAAAAACAAATTTAAATAATGTTTAACATAACGTTCATTAAAATTGATTTCTCTTAATCGTAGTTAAATTTAAATATATCATATTATATTTTAAAAGTTAATAAATTAAAAAAAAGAAAAAATTCTAATTATATTATTTTTTATTAAACAAAATTTCTTTTGAATTATTATTTTAATTAGTAATATAGATAGAAATGTTGTATATTCAAAAATATTTTTTTATTAATAAAAAAAATTGTTTTTGTAAATTTTATTTTATATACTAGTTTCAGAGTACGTATGTATGTATATTTGTTTTTCTCACATAAGGTGCTTTATTGTAATGTAAAGAAATAATTATGCAACGTTACACTAATTTACTAACTTGTGAAATTGAATTTTTTTAGCATTGAAATGTATATCAGACGTTTTTTACAGAAATGTTTTATTAAGTTATTTTCTTGTTTTTCTGTTTTTTTAATTGCAGTTAACTAGCATTTTTCTTATATTTTCTGCTTTTTTTAATTGCAGTTAACTAGCATTTTTCTTATATTTTTTGCTTTTTTAAGAGCTGTTAATAGACCGTTTCTATAGACTGATGCATAACGATTGCTTGAATAAAGTAAAGAAGCGTACTTCATAACTGATATTTTAACATTAGGTGTTTTCTTTTGTAAGCATATCACAAAAGAATAACTGCTTATTTTAAAAATAACATGAAATAGCAACACTGCTCGCTTATTTAGCCTAACCTTTTTGAAATCGCTTCTCTAACAAGCAGCTCAAATCGCATGGTTGCCAAGACTAAAATTTCGTCTATTGTAAACGACTTTTGGAAGTACTTACGAAATTCCCAGTTAACTGTCAACGAATGCTTGCGTTAATTATTCGTATATCGTGTCGTCATTGTTCCTAATAAATACGTTAATTTTTCTATTTATTATTTTACTGACATAAAAATTCATAACTTATTCACAATCATTATTTTTTACTTGTTTTTCATATACAAGCCTATCAAAATTTCCATTTTGTCCAGAGTTGCCATCGAAAGTAGTGCTTATTTTATTTGTTCTTTTGCGACATGCTTGCAAAATGCTTGTAAATATGTATACAGATATTTACTTGGGAAATTTTTTAAGTTTTTCGCCTTTGAAGTGATTTTATATATCAGTTTATGGCGTTTTTGATGCTGTTGAGTAGTAGTTTCAGTTTTATAGTCTATTTTAATATATATATTTTAGCTAAATTAAACATTGACTAGTTCAGTTTACTAGTTAGTTGAGTATAATGAAAGGGGAGTTTACTTCCTATTTGATAGATGTACATAAATGAAATTTAATAGTAAAAGTAATAATTTAATAATAGTAACACATATGTAGTATGACATTTTCGATGTACCTGTATGACTTTAATAAATTTTGTTAAGAACTTGCAATATCTACAACTAAGTTTACTTTTTAACTCGTACCTTTTCAATGTCTGATCTTATGACTTTAGTAAATAATGTTGAATATTTTTCTTTTGCTTTGATTTATATTTTAGTCGTATAGTTCTGCCAGGAACATGAACTTTTATCTCTAACTTTTTGTCTTAGTGTTATTAATTTCAATCAGTACAATTGTCCTTGACGCCATATTGACTTTTGTCACTGCAGTCACGTTGTTGCTGTCGTGACCTTGAGAATTCTGTTGTAATTGTGACTGAAAACTACAGTTTTCAAATGCTTTTAAGTTATTTCGCCTTTTCAATTTATCATTTTGATTGTTCTTGAGTACCCAGTGATATATATATCCATATATTATCAATAACCATGTATCTGCTGTTACAGCTGTTCTATCAGAGCCTTGAAATATTTATACAATTGTGTTTTTCATCCAAATTTAATGAACACGCACACTAAAGCTATATATGTTTGTCATATCTGAATATATACGTTTGAGCAATATGTTATTTGGTATATATGAATGAATTACTAACATAGACTTCGCTTGCAGACTGGTAAAACTGTCATATATAAAATCCGTAATCCTAAATTGTAAGAAACCTGGAAAAAAGTAATTGATAACAAATTCATATTTGCACAGTATACATCATTAGAAACCGGTTCTTTCACTCCAAACTTAATATGATTATATTTATAGAAATTAACAATATCAATTGCCAATATTTCAGATATGCTAGAAGTAAATGGGTTTAGAAAATTATCTTTTTCACGAGTTTACCCATTTGCACCAAATTGAATTTGTTACTTAAATTACATCAAACCTCAAGTCTCAAGTTGTTGACTTTTGTTAAAATTTAACTGATATTATTTATAACGGCTGCAGGTTCCTTGCAGAAATTTTAAGGATTGTATACAAAAATTAAGCGTATTTTATTCGCATAATTAAAAATATATTTTTGTATATAATTTTATTTACAATTTTTCTCACTCACTCAATAGTTTATTAGAATATAATAAGTAATTTTTTTTTGAAAAAATAATGTACATTTCTTCTGAAATGATGAGCTTTGTTCGAAATAAAATTTTAAATCGCATTTTTTAACAAAACTTTATAAAACAATGACAACTTGAAATACTACTTCATAAGATTTGGCAACTACTTCTTTTCACATGTGACGTCATCTAACGGCACTTTGTTCTTGTGGCGAAATCGTGTACATTATTTTTGATTATACGAGCGTAAAAAATGGCTGAAACCAAGTGTTGCATTTTCGATACATACGAGTATGTAAGAAATTTTTAGATTAAAAATTATAAATTCATTAATTAGTTGAAATCAGTGTTACAGTACTTATAAGTTGCTGTATAAAAATACATATATAAGAGTACGTTTCCACTGGCTTCGTTAGAACTGTTAACTAACTTGAGATTGCTTGAATTACTTGAATCTCAAGTAAGTTAACTGGTCTAACGAGGCCAGTGGGAACATACTCATATATAAATACATGTAATTTTTGAAACCTACTAAATGATGTGCTTATTATTTGAATAGTGCACTGCGACTTAAAAGATATTTTGTGCCTCTTAGTCGGATTAGAGTAGTTTTTCAAATCTGATTTCTTTAATGAAAGACAGAATGTAGCCTATCTCTCCTACGTTTCATAAAATATCCTTCCAGGAGTTTCTTCCACTTGTGCATCAGTGCCGGACATTTTCCTAGCACATGGCATGCAGTTTTTCTCTTTTCCCTGCAGCATCTGCTGTGCGACTTGGATAGGATTCCTAACTTTGTTAGGTGATTATTCAATAATAATTCTTAAATTATTCTTTGTTAGTTGTATCTTGTCCTATTATTATTTTTAAAACTTTTTAACTCATTCTGCTTGTTATATTATTAGTTAAAATATTAAAATTTTAATTATTATAAAATATTAAAATTTTATATATCAATAATCGATTCACTATTAAAAATTGTATATATAATCATTACTTATCACATACCTTAGTGTAAATGCTTGTTATATTATATAACATATATATATGTATAATATATAAAAGGGAAAAATGTGAAAATGTTTTAATTTAATCCACGTGCAAATACTGAACATGTCCCTTAAAATCATTGTATGCAACACTGCTAACTACCGTTATGATTAAGAAGAAGAATACAATTGATGCTAACACGAAGTTGTCGGATTGTATATTAAAGTTTTGCTTATGACTTTGTGTTAAGAAAATAGAGTAATTAAGTAAATATATTTTAAAATATAATATATTTTTATTTAAGTAATTGACGGTTATATATGTTTTGTGCGTGGTTATAATATACACAAATAAAAATAAAAATTATAATTTTTTAAAAAAGATGGCGGAATTTTGCAGTTTGTGAAACAAATTTCTTGAAAATATTGCGTTGTTATAATTTTAGTTAAAAACAGTTGTTAATATAAATAATTTACACGAATGTTTTCTTTTCCAGGAAACTGATACTTGGGTAGACAGTTTGGATGATATTAAATTAAAAAATTTATTAGAAGAAGCATATTCTTATCGAAACCCAATAGATAAAGAAAATAAGAGTGAAATTTTCTTGGTAAGTACATGTGTTGAAAATATCCTGAATATTATTTATATTAGACGATTTTATTTAAACACCTATTATATTTACATTGAAAGATTAGGTTTGTCGTTAGTCCATACGTAATAAAAAATAATACCAACTTAATACCTCATAATGTGTACATTGATAATATACATTTCTTAAAATTGTACAAAAATATCATTTTATTCATTATTTTATTTTATTATAAATATTATTTTATCTTATAGCAATTACTGGAGAAAGCTGAAAGTGAAAAAGAGGATCAAACTTTTTCATTTAGTGCTATTGCTTCACGATTTACACGTAATTCATCCTCTTCTACTACGTCCAATAGTCATAAGCAAGGCGGATCCTTGCAAGATCTCGTTGAATCTACGTCGGATTGTGATTATAGTGCAGGAGGGCAGCGCCATCGACGCTCGAATCATTATTCAAGACAAAAAAAATTCTCATCGGTATCATCGCGTCAACGAGAAGGTGGAAGTTTACCAAGTAACGTTAATGTTGCTAATAGTGGGGGTTTACTTGGTACACTTGAACAGCCGGCTTTTATGAAAGAGCTTCGTGCTAGTGCAAGTTTAAAGCAACAAAGACGCAATACAAAAACAAATACTGCAAAGGAAACGGAAAAAGACAACGTAGCTGGAACAACAGCAACTGGTACAACAAAAAATTCTAATGATAGTGTTGGTAGTAGTGGTACCAATATTATAAATAAATTAAATCCAAATGATACAATTATTAATATAAACGAACCTATTGAAGATATACAACAACAACAACAGGTTTTACTCTCAGATGGGAATGAAATAACTCAGGTATATATACGTAAAAAAAACATATTACCAATATATATATATATTTCAATAAACATCTTTAGGGTAATCATATTTATGAACGTTGGGGTGTTGATGTACGTATACCACGAGCAAATATTGTAACAACCGTACAAACAAAAGTTGATAGTTCACGAAATTTTGTTGATGATCAAATACGTTTTGAGCATTTGGATCGTGGTGAAAAATATTTTCCTTTGGATGAGAATTATAAAGCCTGCAGATCAGTAATGGGAGAAAAGAGCGACACGTTGAAATCATCTAATACAATGTTTGCTTCTAAATTAAGTACAGTAAGTGTAAGTTTAACTATATATATGTAATTATTAAAAATAATTGAATTTTTTCACAGCGTCAATATGACGAGAACGGAAATTCTTTAAGTGAAATTTTGCAAAGTAGTTCAGGTGCTAGTAATATTTTTTCAAGTGGTAATAATAGCCAATCGCTGGCGAAGGCTAAGAAGAAAAAAACACAACAAGATCGAAACACGAAGATCGTTGACTTAGAATCAGTAGATGGATATAGAGGAAAAGATCCCATTCATGTGTTGGTAAAATATATTGAAAATCCATCTGATTCAAAAGGTGTAAAAGGTAATGAAAATCCGAAGAAAAAAGATCGAAATAAGAAAGAAAGCAGGGATAAAGAGAGGGATTCCAAGGAAAAGGATAACAAAGAAAAATATATTAAGGATCGTGAAAGTAAGGATAAAGAAGTAAAAGAAAAAGAGAACAAAGAAAATGATGTAAAGGAAAAAGATAAAGATATTAAGGAAAAGGATTGTAAAGAAAATGATATTAAGGAAAAAGAAAAAGATAAAGATATAAAGGAAAAAGATATGAAATTTAAGGATATGAAAGAAAAAGAATTTAAAGATAGCACAGATATCAAAGATATAAAAGAATTTAAGGATACAAAAGAGAAAGATAATAAAGATAGTAAGGAATATAAAGATAGTCGAGAACATAGAAATAAGACATCAAAAATCAGTACATCTTGTGAGGAATTAGCCAATTGCTCTGATGAAGAAAATAACGTCCTAAAGAGAAGTGGAGTCAATACAGAAAATGCTGTAACAATGCGTGGCAAGACTACTAATAAAAATAAAAATCACTCACTATCATCTGCTGATATTAATAAAAATGTTGATGGTAGCTCTAAAATAAACCCTTCTGCTAGTCGAAAAAATGAACGTCGTTCTTGGGGAACAGAAGAATTGCAGTATCTTGGAGAAAACAGCAAAGTGAACGAAGAAAAATTAAAAGAGAGAAAAAATAATAAATATAAAGATAGAGAAATAGAGAAAGATGGAAAGCTTCTTGATAAACCTGAGAAAAATGTTAATAGTATTGATGAACTGTTGAACAGTAAAACCGAAAAACGTAAGAAATTCGAAAATCTTGTTCATTCTAATGCAGAATCCACTTATGGAGATGTGAATTTTTTAGAAATGGACGCGATTGTTCCTGAAACTGCCGAATTTCATGTTGTTACAAAAAAGAAAAAAACCAAGAAACAACGAGCAAATATGGATGAAACAAATGTTAACTGCGGTGGTGTCGCAAATTTTAATCGCACACATAATATCACAAATACACAGCAGCAAAAGTTAACATCCGGAGTCCAACAGCAACAATTGCGTTATAAAAATAATTCAAGCTTTATTGCGGGAAATTTAGATCGTATAGAATATACTAACAATAACCATCCCAATTCTCATTCTAATCATCAAAGTTATATTAGTAACCAACAATTAAACAGTGATAAATCACGCCGAAAATCAACTTCCTCCATGCCTCCGTCAGAAAAATCTGATTCTAGCGATCATGACTCTGTGCATTCTTTACCAATAGAGTCTGCTATTAAAAATAAACAACGCCATAAAAATTCGAACGTACCAACATCATCGTCTACTGCTGGAAAAGGCTATGCTAACAGCTCACCTGCTCCAATTTCTTATGCAGATATTACTCGAACTAATAAAGAAATAATTTCTGCTAACGCTAATAGTGTCGATAAATGGCCTACAGTAGATGTTTCTAATAATAACATAAATGATGTAACTGGAATTACCGATGAAACTCAGACATCAAGTAACCAGCAAAGCAGCACTATTTTAGGCAGTAAAATAAAAGCTAAAAAAGTGTCAAGTAAATCAGATTTTCCAGAATTGTTACCAATATTAAATCCAGAACATAATGGTATTAAATCTGTTATAACAAAACCGATTTCATATTCACAAAGTTTAACTACAGTGCCATCAGGTTATAATACTAGTAATAGTATTGTAACAAGTAGTGATATGTCTATTACTACTGCATTGACAAATACCTTTGAAAATAATATAGACATAAAAGATCCCAAAAGCGAAAAATCGAACACGTTTATGGAGAATGATAAGACCAGCATTGTTGCAGCAACAAGTGGTGTAACTCGAAATCAAGCAGGTATGCAACAGCCGTTGCAAAAGTCAAAAAGTGTGGAACATGACAATTACAATAGTAACTTGGATCAACAATATCCAGCTCTAGAAAAGACTGTTAAACGACATAGTGCTACTAATGTATCAGTGGTTGCTAATAGCATGTCAACACCATTATCAGCGCCGGGTCAATTTAATTTTGCTGCAGCTGCTAAGCAGCAAATCAATACTAACTTTGAGGGAATTCAAAAACAAAGTACCCCATTAACTACCTCAAGCAATGTGGTGACCATGAATACACAAATTGCAACCCCTGCCAATACGACTGCCAATGCTGGTATTAAAAAATCTAAAGAAAAGTTATCACCGTCTATTACATCACAGATAATAGATTCGACAACAAATGATTCATTCATTAATAATAACGTAATTCAGATGAAGAAAATGAAAAAAGAACAAAAGCATGAATCTAATGATTCTAATGTTGCACAAAAACTATCGGCAGCTACACAAACACAAACACAACCTGTTCCTAAAATTTGCACAACTTCAGCCAATGAAGTTGTAACTGCAAAGCAACTAAATAATACTTCAAATGCTCAGAAAATAAATTCTATGTTAAATACGACTCAGAACAAAACTAACGCAACGCAAACAATTTCAAATCGCCCAGCTGTAATAATATTAAATGACGATTCTGGATTTGTATTATCAAATAATCAATTCACTTTTGGTGACTTTAATGAAGAAGAGCTTAGATTCTTGGATAATGAAATGACACAGAAGGTAATTCACGGAAAAGATAATTTTGAGAAATCAGATATAATGGAAAACGTCTCAAACAGAAATGTTCACGTATCAATATCTACTAATTTGACAAAATCATCAACGCCAGCAGCAATATTTAATGATTCAGGTACTTCGTCTGATATCATCAACAATTCAATTCAACATGGTGATGATATAATGTTGATTCCTAGTGTTGACGCTTCGTCACCCAATACATCATTTATCAATAATCAGGTAGTAAATCAATCTAATGATAGCGGTTTAAACGACAGCAACAAATCAAAATCAAGTAGTAATAATAAACGTACACCTATCTCAAAAATTGCTAATACAAAAATGAATTCATTCACAAATAATCCAGCAACAGCACTTACCAATAAAGCTAGTGAAGATGGTAAACCCTCATCTTACAATGCAAATAACATCTGTCCACCACAGCAACTTGAAACTTGTAATGACATTGAAACAGCTATACTTGCAGCCGCACGCGCTGCAGCTGACCAAAATCAAAATCAACACCAACAACAATGTCAACACCATCAAGGCGTGCATTATGAAACATTCAACTCATCATCGAATTGCAGCTCGTTATCGTCATCTGTATCTGTTGATGCAAAATATACACCACAATCTCCAACATTTGTAGCCAACAATTTTTCTAATATTAATTGCCAAACGCAACAATTTGAAAGTGATTATTTAATTCGTAGCAGAAGTAACAGTAGCGGTCAAAGAGATTACCCATCTTCGCATGTTGTTAGTATACAAGAACAGGAGTTTGATTTACAATATATACCGCCCACCAATTCAGACGCATTTAATAAGCAACATAATGATTTTATTGTAGCTTACATTGATTCCGGTAAGTTCAGTATATAGCTTTTTTTTATAATATTTTAAAATAACTTCTTTTTTTTTATTAATTCAGTAAGAATACATTTAGTATTAATAAACTATTATAAATACAAATTGTATTTTATAAACAAATATATATTGTATTATAACAACTCTTCTTTTATCTATTCTCTGGCAATTATTACAATTAAATATTTTTTACCTGCTTTGCTCTACTTTCAATTTCTACACAGAAAGGACTCTTAAATAGAAACAAAAGTATAACTGTTACAATTTTCTAATTGACACATCAATGTGTCGTATCTGTTACCAGATTACAGTAGCAGTTTGACCATGCAATGTTTTCATTTTCCGTTATATTTGATTAAATTGTATATTATCCAATAAAATATGTGTTAAATGTTGTATTTAACAAATACAATATATAATCTGATTTTTGTGTATTTGTTGGGAGAGATGAACAGTGCTTGGTAATCTATATAAACGGGTTGTGGACGTAGTTCCGGCTGATCATATAACCCAATAAATTTTGATAGTTATTATTTATATCATCTTTTTAAAAGTGAATTTAATAATTTTTTTTATGGCATAAATTTTATAGTTTAACATTAAACTGAAATTTATTTTATTTTTATCATAGCATGGGAGGAAATCGCTAATAGTAAGCTGACTGTATATTATGATGGACAATAAAAAGCTGCTTTTTCTAATTTCACATCTCTAAACAAAGTGGACTACAATAGACAACATAAGAGTATACAAAAATATGTAGAATAAAACAAATAATTTGCTTTTCTGTATAAGCTTTTGGTGACTGATAGCGAATTTCTATATATTAAAAATATGTTTCGATTCATGTATTAAAGAAAAAAACCGAACGCGACGTATTGTTTTAAAACTTTTATATAAATAAAATACCTTGTAATTTATATATGTATATTATTATCATTACTGGTTTGATTAATATGTACATTTAAACACTTTATAATACAAATTTAAAAAATATTCATTTAAGAGGACATTTTTATTTAAAATAAAGTTTTCTAAAAGAAATATGTTCTTTTTCAAAAAAAAAATAAAAAAAAAAAAATACAAAAAAGCATTAAAAGAACAAAAAGAGAAAGAAAAACTAACACAAAAATAATTATGTTTATAAATGATATATAATAAAATTTGTATATTATTAATTTATAATAGTTGATATCTCAAAATCAAAGCAAAAACGCAATTGGTTATGTTGAATTTTAAATTCTTTTATGCTGGCTTGTAATGTTATTTTATTTTTACATAACATATATTAATGTACGTTAACAAATCAATTGAATTTTTTTCTAAAAATGAATAAAAATACTGAAAGAAGCAAAATTTTATTGAATAGAAAAATATGTTTAACATTAGAAATTCAATAAAGAGCAAAGGTAGAAAGAGTAAAGCACCATAGATAGTTAAATAAAAAAAAAACTTAAAAGAAAAGGGTAGATTTATATTTTAATTTAAATTATGTTTACTGACATTTAATGTTGTTATTTTTTCTTCTTTATACATTTAATATATATTTTAAATGTAAAGAATAAAAGCATTTTTAAAATTCATGTAATATGATAAAATAATTAAAACACAAAAGTGTTAAGTTCCAAACTTGCTTTTATTTTAAAATAATATTTTTTTTTAAATTTCATTCTTTTAGGTTTTTGTTTTAATGAACAAATAATTATGTTTGTAAATTTAAACTTCTGTAAATAAATTTAATAAAATCATGATTAAAATTTAGTCCTAAAAGTTATAAAAAAAATAAATATACAGACATATTAAAAGAGAAGTTCTTAAAGTAGCTAGTAATTTGCAAATTGAAAAATAACTTTAAAACCTCCCATAAAACATTTTAATGTTAAACATAATTATATATTGTGAATTATAATAATTATTACTGTATCAATCATAAAAAAACTTAACTACGAAAAAAAAGAAAAAATTTTTCTACTACGTGTGAAATTAGCATTAAATAATTTAAAATTTCGAAGCATTAAATATATATTTATATATAAAAAGAAGAAAAAGAAATTAATTTTTAATAAAAATTATATTTAAGTAATTAGTTTAAATGATTAGCTAAATAATATAAACTAATTTAATTTTTATCTGTCAAAAAATATAAAAATTTGAATATAGATGAATAAATATCGTCAGGAGTATATATAATTATTTAATTTAAAATATCACTGTTATTTATTAAATTTATATATATTATTTATTTTACAAGTAACATATTTAATTGAAATATTAAAAGTTATTCTAATCTTATTAAGTTATAATTTTATTTATGTTATTGACAGAGTCAGTCTGCTTTTTTTTTACAAACTTTTATTTCCAAGAACGTTCAGCAATTATTACATTTAAATATCGTGTAAGTAATTGACACGTAATTGTGATAATTAGTAGCAAAAAAAAAAACAACAAAAAATATAACGAAAATTAAATGTTTAGTTTGTTTTAAATAAGATCATATCATTTTTTTTATTACGGTTGTTAAGAAATAAAAAAATTATTTATATTTATATTTCATGATCATGTTTTCTTAAAAAATAACTATTTTTTATGTTATAAATAATGTTATTACCATTTTACTATGTTTAGAATTCGACTTAAAGAAGAAATGAATTTTGTTTTTAAAGGTAAAGAATAGAAGTGAATGAAAATTTATACTTGGATCATTTTCAATTTTCATTGTTGTTTCTACGAAAAAAAAAACTTATTCATAATAAATAAATTCGTTTTTTTTTATTTTTTACAAGTTTAACAAATATTTTTGGGGCCAAGTAGTTTTTTCATTTTAAGCCTACTTTCCATTATATTTTAAGTTTTACCAAAAGTTTTGTGCATTTCAGAACTAATTGAAATTCAACTCTAATTGAAATGTGTAAAAGAGTATGTAAATTTGTAAAGCCTTAATTGCGTTTAATTAGAAATTAATTTTTTAAATATCAAAATTCATAGTTAATATTAATTAAATTATTGTATATATTAAGACTAAAGAGGGTTGCATATGATTTTAATATATCAATTTTAATATACTTAAAATGTTTACAAATAAATTGAATGATTAAAATTGAACACATAAAATTTTCATTCATTTTAAAAATAATATATTGTTTTTTACAAAGATTAATTTTTTTTATTTCTTTTTTTAAATGTAATAATTTTATATTTTTACTATGAGAACTGGGTAAACTTTTCTGTATTTAAATTTTAAAAGTATCGTAATAATTATAAATTCATTTATTCAATTGCATATAATTTAAAATAGTGTACGAATATATCACAAATTATTCATGTTTTCATTTTTATTAGTGCTGTTAATGTGGCATGTTTATGTAATAACAAATATAAGGCAATTAAATACCATATATACATAACATATATATATAATTGTACTAAAACCTAAACATTAATTTTTTTAAAAATCATATTAAAAATTTTAAAATGTATATAATATAATCAGAATTTCGGAAATTAAACGCGGAAGCAAAGTTGACAAACACAAACAAAGCTTGAGATAAGACTTACATCTATTAATTAATTATTATAATATCATATTGTTTAATTTTAATTATTTTTATTATATATTCATTTATATAAAATCAACAATAAGACAAAAAAAAATTTTAACAACTATTTCCTTCATAAAGCTTACACATATTCTTTTGTAATTAAAGCCTTAAAAAATAATAAGCTTTATTTTTCTATTATAAATGTTGTTTTTCACAGTTACATGCCTATAAACTAAATATTTATTATATATAAAAAATTTAAAATAATTTCAATTTAAAGAACTTTAAAAGTTCAAGTTCAAATTGTATTAAAAAAGTGGTACCACAATTTTTTCTCAATATTGCAAGTTGAGAAAAACTTTGAGTTTCCCTAGCCGTTTTTTAAAATTGTTTTTTTCTTTTTATTTTCTGTTGTACATAAACTTTAAACATGCCACATGGTCAGTTATATATAAATATATATATATATAATTTATTATAAAATAAAATAAATATATATGTATACATATACATATATAAATATAAATAATGTGTACGCATGTATTTCATTATAATATATACAGATATATATGTAAACACCTAACTTCTTTTAACATGGTAGACACGTTTGTTATAAATTGGGAATATATGTTATATATTTTCTGAAAACCCTATTGATAAATTAATAAAATATGGTTTAAAACTTTTGTTATAAAAACAAAACTGAAAACGACATAAGTTTTGATATGCAGTTTGATTGACAGTATATACACTGAGAATGGTGTAGGGAATAGTTATCGAATTAAGGTGATTTAACTGAGAGTGGATATGGACTATAATTAGAATTAAATTAAACTAAGACTTGGTACCAAGGCTAGGGCAAAGAGAAAACTTTTTATAAAGTACTTTTAACGAATTAATATATATTTATAAATCCTAGAGAATTATAGAAATATAAATGATAAACTTTATTTGCTCTTTAAATACGAAGTTTGTTTTTTTTTTTGTCAGAAACAATTTACTAACTTGAATTTTGTTTTATAAATCCATGTAAAAAATTGGGTGTACATTAATGTGTATGTATATATTGAAAAATATATATGTTTATATATTTATGTTTATATATAGATACATAAATATAAATACAAATACATATATATTGTGTGATGTATATGTTTAGAAATATATATATATATATATATTTATGGTCAGAAATATACATATATCAAAGTGTGATTTCCTTTTAACAATTAAAACTAAAAGCTAATTAATCAAAATGTCCAGTTTATCAAATGAGTCAACCAATGAAAATAAAATCAATTTAGAGATAAATTGTAACAAATTATATATAAAAACAAAAAAACAGTCCTAGTATATATAATATAAAAAATGTAACTATTTAAATTTAAGAAAGAATGTAACCACTAATAAGTATATTGCGAAATTTTTATTTTGATTGTTTAAAAATTAACTTGAAAGTTTTCTCATATAAAATTAATAATTTTTTGTTACACAAATAATATAAATATATATTATATTATACAAGAACAAAAAACAAGTCATTTTAAATAAATGGTTAAATATATAACTATATATATAATATAATACATAATATAATATAATATGTATATAATATAATATATAAATATATACATACTATAATATATATATAAATATAATATAATATAATATATATATAATTTCATATATTTATTATATAATGTATTATTTATATATATGTGGTTTGAATAATCTATTTAAATATAAGCTTAAAGAAATTGAATTTTAACTTATATATATATCATTAATAATTATATATAAACATCTAATACTATATAAATAATATATATAAATATTAATATATATATATATTA